AGTTTTGAACTCTGTGACGACAACAATCATTGTGTATATGATCATACTTGCCTTGTACATAAGTGATTTTGAGATTTTCCTGTTGTCTCCCAGGGGAAATGCCACACTATGTCCTATGTTGAATCATCTTTAGGTATTTGTTAATTCAAAATTACTATAGGAAACCGTAAATGATGAAAATGCCAAACTTATATAGGCAGTACATAAAAATAAGAGATTGTGTAAAAGAGGAAATACAAAGAAAAACTGCCAGCAGAGATATGGGGCAGAAATGAAACATTGATGAAATGCTGAAAGAGGAAAAACTTTCCTTATATTAAAAATATACTAATGTTTGCGAGATGATATCTGATCTGGGACACGTCCGAGGTTCAGATAAAATTTCACCAATTCTATGGCCAGTGAGGGACTGTATTTATCTAGGACCGGTTATAAAGAACAAGGATTTGTAATCACTAGTTCAGATTAAAACTCATCAGGCATTTAACAGCTTACAGAAACTTGGGAGGTATCCCATCCAACGGGACATGAACGAGGGAGGGGGTCCCTGATAAACCTGGAGGGGAGGAATAGAAGGGCAAGAGACACGAGAAATGACAGCAAGTCTAGTTTTCTTATCAAGCTGTCCACTTTATTATTCCTCAGAAGCTGTTATATAGCAAACAGGCAAGGGGGAGAGGAGGTAGGAAGCTGGAATTTAGGTCTGGAAAGGTCCCTATTTGATGGGGAAATACTGAGGTCTGTGATTGTTAACTAACAAAGGAAATGCTAATTGCTTCTAAAGCCTGAGGCCTGCCGGTACTGCAGGGAGACAAGTTACTAGGTTAATTTGCTAGACTCAGAACTTATCCTGCAGAAGTGACAGAGGTGAATATTTTACTTAACTTGTGAGCTTAAGATGGCAATAAACAAAATACAGGTCTTTGCTTCCGGCATGTGTGATGTGTGGGAAGGGAGGGAGGGAGGGAAGGAGGGAGGGAGGGAAGGAGGGAGGGAGGGAGGGAGGGAGGGAGGGAGGGAGGGGAGGGGAGGGAGGATGGTTGGGACCAATGCTCAAAGGCATGGTGTGAAGTTAAGCCACTGTTTCTACAATCATGAAGCAAATTGAAAAATTAGGAACCTGATAATAATGCCAGTCTCTATGACCGTATAGGCAATGCAATCAGGAAGTCACCGCAATTACAAAACTGCCCCCTCAGGGAAGCCTACACAAATAACACAGCAGTGAACATCAAGACTGCCTATTGCCTCTGAGTTCACGCCACATCACACCTAACACGATACACACCAGTGCAACTGATGGCCCCTGGCCATCAACATCTGCGAAGCTAGAGATCGCACACTGCACCATCCCATCCCATTACCATGGAGAAGTCAGATACTTCTGTTCCTGCCTTTTCTTTGGTGATGGGAGAATTCTCACTGAGCTTCACCTAGTCTGACTCCCAGTTCCAGCATAGAGCCTTAAACCCACCTTTTGTTGAGCAGTTACCTTTTGTTTCTCTTGTTGCCCTCCCATATGAAGCTTGTCTGAGAGTTTCCCAGGGGTACAAAGCCTATGCAATGAAATGGTCGAGAAAAAATGGGACACACTATGATATTCCTTAATTGAGAATTGGCATTTGGCATTGTCCCTTTGGAAGCTATGGAAATCAGCTTGCTAAAAATGTAAGCTGGAGAACAATAAAGAAACCTGGCTCGGTCCACAGTCTCTGTCCCCAAAGAGGCTGAGTCCCCCTGCAGCTGGGAAGACTAAAATCATCCTTGATGTGCCTCTGGAATTCTTCCTAAGGACAGGTGTGAATGCCCATATCCGCCATCCTCCACACTTTGGTGAAAAGAATCCAATCCTTGCCAATCATATTGGTTCATTCCAATTCTACTTGGGAAACTTTCTGAAAAATGCATAAAGTTTTTTGGGTTTTTTTTTTTTTTGGTTTTTTTCCCCCCAATAGTTTCAGCTTCTACAATAAAGAATGACACATTAGGAATGGTTTAAATCTACTTTGTTTTCATCCTGCAACACCAACTAAATGATCTTAAAAGAAAAGCATACACTTCAATTTTGTATATATTGAGTCTGTAAATGCAGAATGATATTTTCAAGAAATTTGACTAACAATATTATTATTATGCTATTGCCAGAGTATCTATTATTCTGAATTCCTAGCTTCTGCTAAAGCTAACAGTAGCTTGTGATTGACTTAATTTGGGAGCTGGTGTTCTATATGTATATTGGTCTCTGTTAGACTTTTCCCCAGTGTGACAAAACACTTGGGAAAACAACTTAGTGTGGGAAGGGCTGACTTTGCTCATGGTTTCAGAAGTCTCAGTCCATCATGACACGGAGGAGAGGATACGGCACAGCCGAACACACACATACCATAGAGCCAGGGAGCAGAGAACATGCCTAACTCACTAGCCCTCTTCCTTCCCCCCTCTTATTCCATCTAGGTCCCAGGTGTGTGGGATGGCACCACGTATTTCCAGAGGGGATCTTTCCCTCTTAGTTAATCTTTTCTGTAAATTTTCTCATAGACACATCCAGAACTGTCCTTTGCTAATTTAGGTGCCCCACAAAAGACTGTCAATCAAGATTCACAACTTGAGTGTGAGAGTAAACATACCTTTGGTCCCATCAGAGACAAGTAGATTTTTGTGAGTTCCAGGCCAATCAAACTACATGATGAAACCTGTCCTAAAATGGGGGAAGGAGGACCCATAAGCACCCAAACTATTACATTATAAAAATAGTGTTGGCATATAACCAGGAAAAACTCTTACCAGCTAAAAGCAATTCTTCATACAATACTAAAAATGCTAAGGCTAGTGAATTAAATTATTAAACAGTGATTCTAGTATAACTTCAGCAGCAGTGATTTTACACCATATTTTCTGACCCAAATACTTCTGGAAAACATGTTCTGAAAACTTCATTATGTCAATAATTTTTGGGTAAAGGGGGAGGGAAGAAACTCCATACTGAGCGCCTATGAATCTCTAGGATTTTATTACTACAATTTTCATGTTTTCTATTGAAAACACTTTTATCGTATTAGTATCAATAAAAAACTGATGAGAAACTCATTCACCTTATTGTTTGTTAAAATTAAAGTTTTTTTCCAGTTATGTATTGTAAACATAAAATATGTGTGTATGTATATGTCTGTGTGTATGCACACGCATGCACGTTTTTCAAGACAAGGTTTCTCTGTGTAGTTCTGGATGTCCTGGAATTCACTTGCATACAAAGCTGTTCTGAACTCAGCGATCCACCTGTCTCTGCTTCCTGAGTGCTGGGATTAAAGGTGTGCATCACCACACCTGGCAACACAATTATATCCAATGCCAATACCTTTTAAATCTATCAAATGAATTGTGATGCATGTGGTAATCAATCAATAGGTACTAAGGACCAGAAACTAAGAAATTCTACATGAGGACTGGACATTTCTGCTCAGACTTGCTGGCTTAAGCAATACTAATCAGTAGATAGTAAAGTAATCCTACCTAGCAGCAGAAAGATTTCACCAGGCTCTTGAAAGATGAGTAAGACATTACCAAACAGATAACAGAAAGGAGGGCACGTGAGCACACAGTACAGGGAGCTGCGAGAAGAAAGACCAACGGGCTTGGAGACATCTAGGAACAATGACTACAGCGGAAGGTACTTGTTTATAAAACACTTTGGTTAGATATGTTTCTGGAGCCACAAATAGTTATGGTTCACTAAGAGTTTGAAAAAAGAAATCTCAAAAGCAGTGGGGATCTTTTAGACCCTTCCATCTTGTATTAAAGATGTTTTAGTACAAGATTGGTTTGTATTTCACATGAGCGAGTAAAGAGAAGTAATGGGGACTGCTCAGTACATTTGATCTATCTGTGATGGGATTTCTACTGCAGTGGTGCCAGGGCACAGTGGGGTTGGGAACCCTGACAGGTCTAACAGGCTGAAATGTTTAAGACAGATTAAACATTAAGATAATGCTTAAATTTCGAGTTTTGTATTATTTGGGTCTCGGTGTATTAAGGATTAATTTTACTTCCAAGTCAACAGAGCAAAAGAACCTCATTGTTTGATGAACTAGGTTTTTATTTTTTGCTTCCTTTTTTAAAAGGTAAGAAAGACAAGTAAGCAGATGTTTACCTAGCAGCAATATTCCTGTCTAGGCCCACTGAGATGGTTTCAGAGGTTAAGGAACATGCAGCAAAGTCTAAGGGCTTGAGTTCATTCAATTCTAGAGCCCCACACTGTAAAAGGAGAGAACCGATTGCCACAAATTGCCACAAATTGTGGCATGTGCACACTTGAGCTTGAGTGTGAGCTCACATACATGCACACACACTGAGTAAATGTCAAAAAACATTCCTTCCTTTTTTTTTTTTTCTGAAGGCTGTCTTTCTCTTTCCTATAAAACTGTATGGCCACAACTAGGCCTGGTGACACAAACCTTACTCCCAGCACTTTGGAGGCAGAAGCAAGTGGATCTCTGTGAATCTGAGACCTGCCTGGTCTACAGAGTTGAATTTCAGGCCGGCCATGGCTACGGAATGAGATCCTGTTTTAAAACAAACAAACAAAAAAATCTTCCTATAGATTCTATAAATTCAATATAAATATTCTTCTAATGAACACATTTTATTTAAGTCACGTCTTTTAGAAATAAAGACAGAGAGCAGTAAACACTAATAAAAGCTGGAAACACCAAATGTGTCTTTGGTGTCTCTTCTGAAGCCCACAGTGCCTGCACCTGTTCCTTTCATCCTTAGATGATAATCTGCTGTTTATTTTGCTACCAAGAATCTAAGCAGATGAAGCTTGAAAAGAGGTTGCCTTTTAAAAGTTGCTCTGTGCCTGACCTTTCTTACTTCACAAAAAGTAAAGGGGGGAAAGTGTGTGTGTGTGTGTGTGTGTGTGTGTGTGTGTGTGTCCTGTTGGTGGAAGGGTTGGTGGTTAAAAAGCAAGTTGGGACTTCCTCTTTGAACAGTTGCCTTTCCTCTCACAAAACGGAGATTTCATCTTGTCTGAGGCTGGATAGAATTGAAAGCAACCCAAACACCAGAGCCACGGGCATGATGGCTAAGAAGCCCCCGAAACCAGCGCCCCGCAGGATCTTCCAGGAGAGGTTAAAGATCACCGCTCTGCCCCTGTACTTTGAAGGGTTTTTATTAGTCAAACGGCCTGAGTACCAGGTAAGTCTGTAAACGGAAATTTTAAACATGAAAGTTTTCACTTAACATAAAACTTCATGACAACGCGATGTGATGAGCCCTCTGTGTCTGTTTGGCTTATACCTTCTTCCTTCAGTGAGAAGAATGATTCTAATTTTGATAGCTTAGATACAATTCACAGCATATATATATATATATGTATGTATATATATACATGCATGTGTGTATGTGTATATGTGTGTGAGTGTATGTGTGTGTGTGTGTATGAGTAGGAAGACTAAAGGGTTTGTACACACACACACGCATATATATGAAGTATAATAAGGTCCTAATATTTAGCCGTAGTAGAAAACTCAGGGAAATTTTCAAAGAATTGTTCTAAACATCACATAAGATTTTACCTTTCAAGATAATTTTGTGTGTTTTCTCAGCAATTAACTACCATGCTTCAGTGGTGATAAATTACATGAAGATAAGACGTGATCTCCTGAGTAAATTGGGAGCATGGGGACCATTGGAGAGGGTACAAGGAGAGGGGAGAGGTGGGGAGAGAAGCAGAGACAAATATATAGCTTGATAAAAACAACTAAAAAGTACCTTTTGCTAACTGTAATTTAAAATTTTACGTTTTAAAATACATGGAATATTTTATGAGTTTTCTTAAGGCAAAAGTACCTTTAAAAAAAAAACAAAATTAGTGTATTTACTATTCATAATAACACCCTAAATGCTCTTTTAGGGCCAGTATGGTGAACAGAATTTTCGGAATGCATAATGAAGCAATATTAAATAAATATCAAATTTTCATGATTTTATGAGTTTACCATTTCTTACAATTGATCAGTATACACTTCCGTATGATTTAGAGTGGGTCCGGGTTATTATTCATCTTAAAATCCTCTTATCATCATGTAATTTATCACCACTGACGCATAGTAGTTCACTGCTGAGTTTTCTACTTCCCATGTAGTTTAGATTCACGTATATCTCTCTTGGTGTCCTCATTTTCTGGTGTCTCTGCGTTTAAAGTTGTAATTGTGGACAACATAAAATTAATTAGAGAAATGAAAACATAATTTCTTATGTTACTAAAAGTAAAGAAAGTCATTGGTGTAGGTAGAAATTTATGAAATGTTAATATTCACCGAAGTTCACAAAGTTTAAATGTTTACAGAAATAACAAGCATTCAATGATGATAAGTCAAGGCTTCAGAGGATTAATTAACATTCATGAAAATTATGAATTTGAAAATACTGTAACAGTATGTTCCTATTTTCTATGTACATGGTAAAGATATGGCCATTTGAAAGTCTGGTTGGGATTTTTGTTGTCGGTGTTAAACATCTCTTAGTGAAGTTGCAAGCTATTTTGGAATTTTGGTAGTTCAGCTACATGGTTTTACTTCAAGAACGGAGAACAGCCAAAAGTAAATTTCTAATTGGCAATTTAAATTTGATCATTCACTGACTGCCTTTCCAGGGTGTCTCTAGTAACTGTGCCTGATACCAAGATCTTTCAGGTGTTTAAACAAAGCATGTGTGGGAACAGTTAGCAGACAAAAATCCACAATTTTAAAATATCAGTAAGCCACGTCTGCACTTGATGGTTTTCCACATACAACTTGTAACCTTCTGAAAATGACTCCATCATCTCCCGGGACTCAGTTTATTCAACTGCAAAGGGGAAAAACAGATACTATCTACCTAGCATAATATATTACTACTTGCACTGTATCCATCATTATTTCTGGAATAACTAAGTGCAATATTGAATCAATTTGTTTTCCAAGCAGTGTTTATTGCATACCTTGTACATGACAAACTGAGAAGTTTAGCGTAAGTAATAGTTGTGATTTCTTATCTAACTCCTATTCTGGCTTTTCTTAGAAAGCATGCTATAAGACAGAAGGAACTGCAATTGAGCATTTCTCGTAAAGGCTGGGGATGGAACTAAATGGTAGAGCACTCGTCTAAGGGGGGGAGGACTGAGTTCAATCCGAGCATGGAAATGCAAATAACTGTGAAGTGTATATATGAGAAGACTCATTTGTTTGCCCATTTGAATGCATTAGCAACTGCCTTTCCCTTGTGTACTAAGCAGAAGAGGAAGAAGAGAATGGCAGCAATGTCAACGTACAGGGTGGTTTCACAGATGAAAATGATAACTATATAAAATACTAATTTCTCACTTCAGATTAAATTCATTTTCTTCCTTTTCACTTTTTTGTCTGCTCACATCCTAGTCAGTTTGAGGTCGACAAACAAATGCTCCCTGGCACTTGCTGCGGGTTGTGGGGAAATCCCACTTGTTTCCTTAAGTGTTTCTCTCTTCGCTTCTATATTTAAGTTTGTGAGCACTATGTTGTCCCTTTGATCAAGTCAGAGGTAGAGTTCATGGCATTCATGTCCTGGAGAGGCTATGGAGAATGCTGAGTCCCTGCTGGAAACAAACTCAGAAGATTAAGCTAGAGAAAACTTGTTTTAAGAATCAGATGTTCAATAAGAAATTATAGGTCAAAAGGCTCTTATTGCAAGGTTATATTTTATTTTTATTCTTCTCCCATACATTACATACCGACCACAGTTTCCCCACCCCATCTCTCTACCCAACCTGCCCCTTCCCACAGATTCACGCCCCCTCTGTCCCTCTTCTGTAAAGAGCAGGCCTCACAGTGACATCAAACAAGCACAGCATAACAAGTCATAGTAAGAGTAGTCACCTGACAGTGGTGGTACACGCCTTTAATTCCAGCACTCAGGAGGCAGAAGCAGGCGGATCTCTGTGAGTCTGAGGCCAGCCTGGTCTACAATAGCTAGTTCCAGGTCAGGGTCCAAAGCTACAGAGAAACCTGTCTCGAAAAAAACAAACAAACAAAAAACAAAACAAACAAACAAACGAAAACAAAAAGAGTAGTCAAGGGGCTGGAGAGATGACTCAGAGGTTAAGAGCACTTGGCTGCTAGTCCAGAGGTCCTGAGTTCCTGAGTTCAATTCCCGGCAACCCTATGGTGACACACAACCATTGGTAATTCGATCAGGTTCCCTCTTCTGGCCTGCAGACAGAACAATGTATATATAATAATAATAAAAAAAAGAGTAGGCACATGTCATCACATCAAGGCTGGATGAGGCAACCCAGTAGGAGGAAAAGGGGACCACAAACAGTTGTTTCAAGTTAACAGGTCATTTTAAAGGAAATTATAGTGTCCCACCCCCAATAAATGTACCAGCATATGCTGATTTTAACATAGTCCTAGAAGGACCCTGAATTTCAGGTCAAGAATATATGAAAAGTATTTTTCAAGGGAAAGACAAAAGAAGATTTACTTGAACTTCAGCGTTAGGGCTTTAGATTGACTAAGAAGTATTCAATAATTAAAACACAATCAAATGGAAAATGCGTCGCAATTTTTATAAATCAAAAAAGAGTCAACTTTCCCAGGCCTTTAAATATAAGAAAGTTTGAGCAATAGCCCATTGTTCCTTCCATCTATGATATTCCCAGCTTTAAAGAATGTAACGCGTCCTCTTAACCTTAAAATGATGATATGATCACCATAATGAATCAAAGTGTCCTTCCCTGATGGCCCTCACATTTAGGAAGCTTTTAGCATTATGTCATTTGTATCCTAAAACACAATTCTCCATACCAGGAAACTCTAAAATTTTAAAATAGCATGCCTCTCCCAGCAAAGCATTTGGAACATAGATATTCACTAGGAGATGAACATATGTACCCCTTTACCAATATTCTAGGTAGATTATTGAATATATGGAAAAGGAAATAAGAAAAAGTAAATGAGTATAAGTAGATATTCTCTAAGTTTCCCACATTTTTGGGTATGTGCACCTCATTTCGGAGAACCATTATACAACATCTTTGGCTTACCAAATGCCCTTGTTGTTAGAGAAAAAGGAAACCTTTTGTTTGGGGAGAAGAATAGAGAGAGATTTAAATAAATTCCAGTGTTCCTATTTACAATGGATTGCATTATAACTGATCTTCTTGTAGTTACATTAGCAAGAAAAAATACCGCGAAGGCAAGAGACTGTTCAAAGTTTGTAATGTGTACAATTTCTCTAAATGTAATATGTTTCCTCCTTTGTAAATGGATGATCACTCTCTTGCACATATAAATGAATTTGTAGAACAAATAGAGGATGTGCTAGTGAATATATTTTATTGAAGTTTGACTGTAGGGGATATTGTGATAAGGTCTTAATGTCTTGTCACTCAGTTGTTAAAACAACTCTTGGATAGCAAGTGTGTGCATCTCACAGATGGGTATCTGTGGCTCATGGAAGTTTTGTTAAAAATTCCTCATTGATTGGAAAGTATGGATTTTATTGTGAGGCATATGGCAAAATGCTGCCTCTCAAACTCGAGTTCTAATTCCTTTTGATGTTACAGATACCCTTTAAGTAGACATTTTTAAAATATTTAAATATCTATACAAATAAATATACCTACCTGGATACTAATTATTTAGTATTAGCCAAGTTATCCTGGGATCCATACTGTCTTATCAGAAACTAATTCAGAGTTCTGACGTTTTCTCTATCTGTGAGTTTGTGACTATCCGTTGCAGAAGCTCATGGGTCATACTGTTGTTTCTCACCTTATTTTTCCTTCCCTTGTACTCAAGTCAGTGCCTTTATATTTGGTCCTTACTCTAGTTAATAATTTCTTCTTAATTCTCTCTTTCAATCTATAAGATTTTTTCACCTTTTAACTTCTGTTTGTTCCCTGGTGAATTCTACCCAATTAATATCATTCTTTTGTGTCGGGCCATCTCTGTAATTTTTCTCAGGAGCACAAAGAGATACC